AGCATAAAACATCACAACAGAACATAAATTAACACACAACGTATAACATCACAACATAACACACAACATGTAAAATAACACACAATATATAACATCTAGACATAACATAATAACACAACATAAAACATCACAACATAACACACAACATATAGCATCATAACATAATAACACACAACCTATAACATAACACACAGCATATAACATCATAACATCATTACACACAACATATAACATCATAAAATCATAACAAACAGCATATAACATCTCAACATAACATTATTGCACACAACATATAACATCATGACATAACATAACAAAACACAACGTGTAACATCATAACACACAACATATAACATCATAACATAATAAAACACAACATATAACATCATAACATAATAAAACACAACATATAACATCATAACATAACACACAACATATAACATAACATGAAAACACATTACATCATAAAATAACATAAAACACAGCATATTACATCATAACATAACATAGTAAAACACAACATAAAACATCATTACATAACACACAGCATATAACATCATAATATAACAACACACAACATATGACATCGTAACAACACATAACAACATAAAGCGTCATATTATACATAACATTAACACACAATGTATTACATCATAACACAACATGACATAACACACAAGTAACGTCTTGGCATAACACACAACATATAACATCATAGCATGACATAATAACAAATAACACAACATTATAACATAACACACAACATCTAACATCCTAACATAACACATAACATCACATTAATAAGTTTAACCTGTTAGTATGCTCTAAATGGTGCACATTCTAGAACCAATTATAATGTTATAGTAGTGACTTAATATATTTTTGGAATCTTGCTACTTAGCAGCACTTACTACATTGTAGATTGCTTAAAGAAGGAGCTGAAATCAGTTCTAGTAGAGTTAAATGCATGCGTGTTGTGTATGTGCATGGATGTGTGTATGTTTTACTTTCATGTCAGTGGGGAAAGGCAAAAGCCCGGAAAACGTGATTTACAGCGACACGCAACCACTCTCTCACACACACACACACACACACACACACACACACACACAAAGTAGCAGCCTTATCACTGCTCACCTTCTGTTGACTCCTCCAGGCCCCTGTACTCAAACCCACATAATCAGCATGACTGCACACACACACACACACACTCACACATACACACACATACACACACACAAAAACACATCATGCAGATATGTACAT